ACGTGGTTTATACTCATAATACAGGATTTCTAAAATTTTATTTGAATGATATTTTTTACAGATAGATATAACTTTCAGACATTCATATCACTATTTCATATGCATAAATTTAAATTTATCTGCGGGTAAGCAGACATTTCTTTCATCCCATCATTTTCATGTATATACACGTTTCAAGAACAGTAGTTTTGTTGTTGTCACTGACGCAATTAAATCAAACAATCGTCTTCATATGAAGAAAACATGAAGTTATCAACTGCCCTTAAAAAATGTGATTTTGTTTGTTGTTTATATTTGGTATTACAAGCGATAAGATTATTTTCCTTTAGCATACGGTTTATAAAAAACTATCTTATACAATGACATAAAAAGACATTTTACAAACTGGTTGTACGATAATCGGGATGATTTTGATGTTCCATTCCATTCACTGTCTTGAAAGTAATATCCAAACATTCCAGTCCTGAGGAATAAACTTGCCTCATAAGGTTTCAAGAATAGTCGTCACAGACTCATTTGGAAATACATCTATGCTATTACTCTGTGTGATATGAAGTTGACGTTTTGTTTAATGCCTAATAGTGCGTCTTGTTGTTTTTATCCCTACGCCGGTACCGCTTTGAGGTTATTACATTACTCGGATTTGACTGTGAATTACATCGATGAAAAAATCACTTAACAGCAATTACGGTGAGATTAATCTTACCTAAAACATAAAAATTAACCTCAGTTATTTCAGAGCAGTCATAACTAGGGGATACCGAAGTGTCACCTTAACCGCAAATCGAACTTAAAAAAAATCGAAACACCTGATTTTATTTTCCTTGGAATTTTTCAAGTATCTAAATGTGAACCCTTCTTTAATTTGTTTTTTTGGTTTTAAGTTCGAATTGCGGTTTAGATGACGTTTTGTTATCTTTTTGCTGCTTTGTCTCTATGGGACTGTTCTTTAGTAAATGAGGGTAATTTTTACAAGACTTTTGTTTTAGATTAGATTAATCTCACCTTAACTGTTAATCATAAACAAGATTGGTATCTTATTTTATGATTCTTTGTATGTATTGTTTTATACAGATTACAGTTCATAACGGAAGTCAGTGCTAAAATACTCACTTTTAAATATGGATACTTTGACAGTATAAACTTCGTTTAATTGATTCACATGGAAAAAAATTATATACCATACACCTATAAGTTGGTTATCGTTAACCTAGCACTGGCTTTTTATTGACATTAATTAACACTTAAAACTAGCCTAAGTTAAGTTACGTTCATGATTTTCCTAGAATTCTATTTTCACCTTTCCAGTAACGACATTTTCTTTCCTGTAAATATGAAATAATATGATTCACCATTTGCGTTCATTATGTTTGCATCACTTTATCTATATAACTACTATGACGCATATCCCGGTCGTAAAACACTTCACAAGTATACTCGTGAAATTGTTTGTTCGGAAATGATATAAAGGGAACAAAGAGTCCGCATTCAAGAGGTCTGGCGATATGATATTTAAAGTAACTGATTTTATAATACTAAGTTATTGTTATTTTAACAGTTTTACTATGTGAATACACAGTTAGTTCAGGCTTATAGATTTTTTTTTGTAATAAAAACACATATACATTTGAATCGTTATAAGATGTTTTGTTACTAATGCAAAAATGCAAGTTAAATTATGATATTCGCGCTTGTGTTTTTGAGATTTGCCCCCAAAAGGGATACTTTAATTACTATTGTTTGGTACCAACTATACGAGAGTTTAAAAGTATCCACAAATTCGTCGGAACAACCGCAAGATTATAACATGTGCTATATATAGTATGCCTTCTATACTTGTAACATTGCTCGTTGTCTATACCGTACTTGTACTCCTTCAACTCGTCTCCTTTTCTCATTAAGTCACGTGTCGTTGTTCTTGTCATATCTCCTAAGTGTGCTTGACCCAACCAATTCCTATGAAGTGCTTGACCCAATTTTCACCACATAGATAGCAACCTGATGTTTATGTCAACGCAACCATCGAACAAGGTTTGTGATAAAACAACAAAAATGACAATCAAAATGTTATATACTTCTGCACTTAATAGAGCAGGTTATTATCTGATGTTAAAATGTTGTAGCGTCTAAAACATAAATAAACGAACTTTTCTTCGTGTTAACATGCATCAAACAATTGTCTCTATATGCAAATATTCGTTTATAGAGGCAATTGAATAGCCATTACCTATATAAGTCAATATTGTTTATATAACCAGTGGTATAGTCATAAGCTCTATTAGCTATCTATAAATGCCAATATGTTGTATAGTTTGTATTTAGTTCCCTCGAATCATTCACATCCTCAGTTTTTTATTTTCGTTTTTTAGTAAAAAAAATAAATGCACCGCAGTTCTTTTCAAACATATTTCTATGACCCGCGGTAGCCCTCTTGGAGATATAGTTAATTGAAATCGTGTTAGTAGCACCATTTACCTTCAGAACAACAAAGTAGGTTCTTTGTTACCTTTCCTTATTGTTTCTTTAGGTCGATGATACACTTTAAACAAACTGTTTTGCCGAATGTGGAAACAGACATTGTTTTTCAGGAACAACGTCGTGTTTTATATGATGAGTATAATAATAAGACAATTAACGACAGTCGGAAACCATTCTGGTGTTTTCCGTCAAAATGTGAATTTGAAATCAGGTGAGGTAGGACTTGTCCCCTTACAATACCGAGAAAAGAAGAAAATAATCCAGACCGAACAACATATACCTTGATTCTATATTCTCATTTTTAAATAATTTTGTGAGTTGGTACATTTGTAGGATACATATTCTTTCCCCTAGGGTTCATCTCATCCTTTGTCAGCCAGCATTATAATGTTAATACTGTTTTCCCTTGAGTTCAGCATAACACTGGTGACATAAGTCCATACTCTACTACTGCTGTATTTTTCCCTATAGATTATCAGATACTGTCAAAAATATTGATAGTGTTGCTTTGAGCGAGTGACAATACACTGCATATTGTGTCAGTGTTCACGAATAACATACTAAATATAATATAACAAAGTTGGCAGAACATTGCAAACATGACAATTCTGAAATAGCAACGGTAACATACCAATGATTATTTAGTTAATCATTTTTCCAACATTTTCGAATTCCGAGTTATTTATTCCACCATAATGCACGCGCATAAGTTGATTATTTTTATTCTACCACGTCAAATGTAACTAATTGTAAAGTTTTGCTGTCTTATAGGTCGACATGACCTAGATAATTCGATATGCAAATTAGACGCTGTTCTTTTGCGCGTGCAAGATTTATCACGTGATCGTGTTGCCTCGTTTTAACTTGATCAATGTCGCGCCAACATTTCTCAGTGCGTAGGGTTGGGATTCCCGGATTGCGTCTACTTCTAAAACAATCATCATCCTACCGATATCAAGCGGATTTTCTTGGAAGTGCCAGTGATACAACATCATACGATAGGCCTGACATGAGTTTGCATATTAAGTTGGTTGCCATGACGTGATGGAAAGTCGCTGACCGGCTGATCATGACGCGACTTTCACCTTCACCGACTTCACCGGACAGCTGTGTTTTGCAACCACTGTTCAGACCGACGCTACTTTTTGCAACATTATTCTTTACACACGATATGTACACTCTAGGCGAATGCTCGACATCACTTGACCTTGGCAACCAATTACTAACCAGTGTAGTGCTGTGATAACTGGCCAGAAAGGAAGGAAACAACTGAACACGAGTGACGTCAGATACGATGTTTATTTCAATCAAATAAACATTGGCACGCTATCGACATCGTTCATCAAAACATGAAATCAACACTTGACAGTACATACACACACTGCACACACATCGTGAAATGTACGGCACTACCCAGTGAAGTAAAAACAGTAGTGATAAATAATTTACCATTTTGTCTTCAGACCTGTACATTATAAATGTCAATAATTAATAAACACTTTTCACTGCAGGGACCTACATACTTTAGGTCTATAGATCCGTGTAATCTTTTGAATGGCAGGCCTGTCAAATATTTTGATCACGCCTGACAGTTATGCTATTTTTGTTCATTCATGATAAAATACGGAGAGGTTGTTGGAACAGCATATGCGTGTGCACTATTTCACGTGCATTGGTTATTGGCACGCGCATGGTATATCGCTCAATAATGCACTCTTTTTAATCAATGAAAATCGTCGTTACATCACAGACGTGGTAAAATCTTAAATAATAATAATGTTGATAATATAATACTGACAATCAATGCTAACACAACAAAGCAAATAAAATGTGCGGGGTCAAAGCTGTATGCTATTGAAAGACTTTCTCGTTATTACAAATTTGTAATGTTTTAATTAGGGATATCAAATTAGAGCTTGCTTTTTCGTCGTCTATTTTAAAGAGTTGGAGTAGCTACCACTTAGAGTCGAAACGATATAATCTTTTAGGAGTATGGTACGTATTGTACCAGTGTTACTGCTTAACAATCTAACGTCAGCACGAGACGGTCAACTTATCAAATGGCAAGATATTATTGATAATTGTACAGTCACTTAAAGAATAGGTCGACACATCAGACCTTTTGTTGTTAAATCAATAGTTCATCATATCATATATATTATTTATAACTCAAAAAGCTTTTATTTTTGTTTCGAATATAAAAATGTTGGGAATGTATTTGAATACAATAGATCTCTCATTCAATTTACTAATTCAAACTCAACGGCAGAGAAGGGAGTGGTCAAAGGTATGTGTTAGCTCTGCTCTGAACAATCCCGATGTAGGAAGAGACTTAAATCTTGTAATGCATTGGTAATATTCTTAAAACTATGCACTGTCCAACCCATAAGAAACGCATGCCAATTTTATAAGATTCTGAACATTTCAACCTTGACATTAATGTCCATTGACGTCACAAAACGGTGATGGTGTGCTATACATATATACATTTGCCTCATTAAATCCGGGAAAAAACAACAAAAAACGATTTTAAGGTCAAATACTGCCACATTACTGTCAAGCTAAAAGGAGGAGATGGAGTGTATGCTGCACTGATGTTATAATTCCTTCACTGCAATAGTGATTACCTTAATACATTGTATCACGTTCGAGATATAGTTACTGAAATGAGATACAGCTGGATTAGGATGGGCGACCTTAGAACACGAAAGTGTATGCGCGTAACAGCTCGGAAATTCTGAACACTCCAGATACGGAAATGTAATCATAAATGACGACACTTTGTCGCACGTGTTACAATGTTATCGAGGCGTATTAACACCAGTGTGACCAACTATAAGGACACAAGCTGCTGTCGGTGATATTGGTAAATATACCTATTCGGACTCGTTTTATCTAGGACAATACGATACAGTTTTATAGGTAAATATTTATATTCAGACGCCTTTTAACTGAGTTATACGATACAAGCGTATTAGTAAATATGCGTATTCAGATTGGATTTGCTTAACCAGAGTAATACGAAACAGTTTTACGTATTCGGACTCGTATAACCAAGAGCAATTCGATTTATTATGATTTGTTTGAAAGAATTGACATAGAGTTAGATAGATGGATGGAAATGTATGTGTTGTAAAAGTGGTTTGATGTTGACTTATCGGGGTTTTGATTTGTTCCCTTTTTTTAATTTTTGAAGGAGATTTCTATAAATTATCATGTCTAAACGTTTTACTAAAGTTGCGTGTGTGTCCTGAAAATCTTGCAGATTATTAGTCTGGCTAGGTACGTCAACTCCTATCAATACAAATCATGATCTATGACGTCATATGTTTGTTGTCTAGAGCAACACGGTTATTTCAGCTGAAATAGTAGCTAATAAACACAACTTTGTCCAGTTCAGAGAAGTGTTTTACAGCATTCCTGCGGTTGAATAATTGTTTAATTGTGTCTGTGGTTAATGCACTGTTGTGTACAGTACCATACTCACTCGAAACTTGCACTTCTTACCGACACACTGTACCGAGTTGTAATACATTTGCTGTCAATGACTTTCACCGGATGTACGTTCCCTGTGTCGTCTAATCACCACTGGTGACATAAATACGTGCAACATATTCCGAAAGGGAGAAATAACACCGTATATTTACTGTATAGTTGCTCGTGTCGTGGGTAAAGAGCATTTCTCTTGTCATTATTTTACGTGATATTACATAGTTCGTTAGCTTAGACTTAAAGTAGAGGAGTTTTACACTACTTGAACCGGAAACCATGTATATATATTCAGCGCTGTATCCTCTCTATACGGTGTTGACAGCACCAGAGTTGCAGTGGAGAGATATGTTAGTTAAACAGAGATACTGAACTGATTGACAGGTTGATAAAGTTATGGGTATTTTTGTCTAGTTGACAGGTCAGCTAGGTTTATGGCAGCCTAGATTGTGCGGAAAATCAAAACAAAGAAGATGTATGTGGATAATGAAACAGATGCAGAAAATACAGGTAAAGTATAACGTTTTTATAACTGTGTAAATATGCTCGCGATCTTCATCATGTTTGCTTCGAATCATAATACTGTTGTTTCTGTTGCTTTCGTCTTCGTCGTCATTTTTGATGATGACGATGACGATGATGACGATGATGATGATGATGATAATGATGATGATGATGATGATGATGATGATGATGATGATGATGATGATGATGATGATGATGATGATGATGATGATGATGGTGATGATGATGATGATGATGATGATTTTTTCCTCGACAGGTACTGGATTATCGGGGACATTCATCGCAGTTGCAACTTTCAACCTGATCATCATTGTTGCTATCGCAAGTTGTGCTATTCCAAGGTAATAAAAATCAATGGCATTGCGGGTCTGGCAGATATACAATAGATTTTGAAATACAATGTGTTTGTTGAATAGAAAAAATGTTGTGAAATTATTACTAATTGGAATGCTGAATTTACTATGAAAATGTATAATTTATGTAAAGCCAAAGAGTTAAACATGTGGTAGGAATATTCATCATTGTGTGTAGCCTTGATATGTATTACGTGTACTATATTTTGTTTGGGGAAAGGGGAGGGAGAGATGGGTTTAGTGCTGTTTTTAATTACGGAATGGTCACCCGGAAAATAATGTTCTTCCTTTACCCATTCCCCGTAACATCTATCCACCATCGTCTTCTTTCACTCAATCACTGTCGCACCTAACCCGTTTTCTCCCCTACCCTTACTCCCCACACCATACCTTCAATACCTAACCGCCTTACACATGGTCTGTCACTCTCAACACCATCACCGTTTCTACCAATGTCTCCACTTCACCCTCCAACGTCATCTCTTTCCCTCAATCCGTCAACCCTATTTCTACAACATACTATATTGCCGCTTGCTATTGCATTTAATAACTGATTATCCCCATCATTTCGTAAGTGAAATCAACAGACATAGAGAGAACAACATATCCAGTCATTCAATAAGAAATAAAATATCTGTCATCAATGTTCAAAATCTGCAATATTCCACTATCAAACCAATGTCTCAACTACACCCTAAATCGTCATCTCTTTTAAACCAAAAATCTGCAATTTTCGACGGCTCAATCGTCCATTGTTTACCTGGACCTTTTCATTTTTGAAAAAAATATTCCTCATTCAAATAGTTTCTGTTCTTGTGCAGCCAGGAGATCTATGTAAGGCCATACAAAAGAGACATGTGTCATACCGTGTAACCGTAGAGCTATCCCCCGAGAACCATTATAGCAATCATTGAGATGGAATAATCACATGCACATGACACCCCCTTCAACGCCTGTTGTTGTTTAGGATTTATGACAATAGACTCAATGTTATTGCCGATTGTTAGTATTGACATATATTGCGTATGTTAATGAAACTATACTGTTATTGTCAACATGTAATTTGGCTCCTGCTTATATCAATAATTTATATTTATTTTGTATTTGATGGTTTGTCACCGAGTAGTCAAACAACTTTAGTCTATATATTTGTAAGCAATATATACAACAGTGACACGACTTGAGTGTGGCCAAATCGATATATTTTTTAGCCATAGTTGGATATTTTCAATTAATCTGGATGCAGAATACAAAATGATTTTATAATATTTTCCCCAGATGCCACAAGAAGTCCCGGAGAGAACTAAAACCCCGTTTTACAGTGGAAAGAAAAACAATTAGCCAAGAAGATGTGTCAACAGTTTCTACGTCGTCTAAGTCTGCGCCCAAAAAGCCTATACGCCACTCGCCTTCCACTCACTCAAATAAACAAAAAAACGTTCAAAACTACGAAAATGTATTTGTTGGTGTTTACCGTGGAAATTTTGCCTCTCCCAGTGTTAGTCAGATAGATTCTGCAGACGTCCTGGATAATGAATCGTCTGCTTCCGACCCATTTATTGATCCAAAGGAAGAAAATGTTAATTCGCACATGGACAATAACAGAACGAGCTACGAAGAACAATGTGATAACGTTTTAGAGAGACATATCAGTGTCAGATATGAAAACAATAACGACCAGTTCGATGATGTCGTCGTGAACAAGCGTGAAAGTAGCGTTAATGACAAATACAGGAGTAAAGGATCCGTTGAAATTTCTATCAATGTTAACTCTCGTGTGTGATATCGCGTGATGTTGTTACAAACGAGGAAGTCCCGGTGTATGTGGTGAAAATAATGACATTTTGTATGTCATCATGAGTCATGGCATTAGTTTGTTGATATCTTTGTATTTAGCAATGACAATTGCATAATGATAAGATTCTATAGTATTTTCGCGTAAAACTGCATTACAATGACTGTTCCATTGATAAATTACTGTTGATAGATTGTTTCCATATTATGATAAAATCGGTTTCAGAATGTTTTATACATCAACGCTAATATCAGGTTGAACGTTCAACGAGGCATTGTTTCACAATTATCGTTTTATTGCTATGAACAGCTCTCGTGCGATACAAACGTGTGTACACCTGATAGCTTTGCCTTTTAATGTTGATGAAATTATCTGTATCGTGTATGTAAAGTGATTTGCATAGCTTTTATTGTGATTATCGGCCAATTGAACTTATGAACTATATCCATGCCTTTCATAACATCATGAGAGCATTTCCTTATATGCCATCACTGAACACATTGTCACTGAACGTTATTTACAAACCATGCGTATCGTGAAATCATGTTTGTATTCACTGGAACGGAACAAAGATAAAAAAACAATTTATGGTTTTAATATAAAATACTTCTCTCATATCAGCGCTACATGTATACACTATTTATATCTGATGTAAGCTGAAAACTGAAGTACAATGTATTACAATACATCTGATTCCTTACAACCCATCTCAAAACTCTAAACACTATATATCGTACATAGTACACTTAAGCTGTTTACATTGTCGGTATCAACATGCTTCCCGCACCAGGAGACATAAGTAAACAGCTATGTGGGGTATTATTCTCGAAGGGGTCATAGCGTGGTCAAGCAAAGTATTTACGCCGAATGAAACAAAGGTAATCGGGGACACGTTGGGACTGAACTCACCTGTTTGGGTGCTATATGGAATAGTTTGTTCTATTTTATGTATTGAGATTGAAAACAATGTCAAACGTCATCGATTTATACTCATCTAAAAAAAAGTTCCTTAATTCATTTTTGTGTGTAATATCATAACGATTTGTACACTTTTTATCACACATTTGAAATTTGTCATGATAAACATTCATACTGTTATATCATAAATATATATAATTTATTGTTTTTGTCAAATTGTTATTGTCACTATTAAACTCTTTATAATAAAATCTGTTATTATTTTATTATTCTGTATATGGATTTTGACTTATACTTAAAACGGCCTATACTGACAAAAAGGAATATGTGTATATACAGTAACAAATACTTGAAGTACACTTAATATATTAATAGTGGTTTAAAATTGCAGTGCTTAATACAACACGTGCGAGGAATAAAGACATTTGTTAAAAGCAGCAATAAACGTGATTTTAAACATTCAAAACGTTTTTTTATGTTTATTTTCTAAAAATTCAAAATTGTTAGAAGGGCAGGGAAATGTCTGTTTATAGCACATACTGTAAGTAGCAGTTCAGATGGTTGCTTATTCATAGTAAAAAATCTTAAGGTAAGAACAACTCTAACTCTAATAACTGTGTTATTGTTTATATAGGCTTTGTTGTGGTAGTTAACTTTGACTAGTGTTGACCTCTGTATGGACTTTTATATTTAAGCTACCGCATAGAGTTTGGTACGTTTAACTTCACCTAGGAAGAAAAGATTTGTAAGCAAATTAAATTCATTGTTTTGCGTAACACGATTCCCTTGTTTGATATATGCAATTGACGGTCCATCTAATTATGATAATAACCCTAAGAACGAATTATTATTCAGTTTCCTATTTTCAATCACAAGGACGCAAGCGAGCCATACCATTCGAGTGGCAGTAGTATTTCACTTTTAATATGTATTACAAATATCCTTTAACGATATAAAACAGTTTCCTACACTTATGCTACAAACATTATTATCTTCACGGAAACACCATTTTAATTTCGAGTACGCTATGTTTTTGTTTTTTTAATGTTTCATAAAGCACTTGTCTGGTCAAAGAGTATGACCGTACTAGAATGTTAATAGAGTATGACAGTACTAGTCTGGTCATAGAGTATGACCGCACTAGTCTGGTCATAGAGTATGACAGTACTTGTCTGGTCATAGAGTATGACAGTACTAGTCTGGTCATAGAGTACGACAGTACTACAATGTAATCTGGAGTGCACCAGCTTCCGTACGCAGTACAGGCGTTACATGATAAGCTGTAGTAATACCTCGATAGTAAGAAAAGCGGTCTAACCGGAAGTGATGGAAAAACCAACAATAAAGCTCTCGAATGGTTTAGTAGCAATGTATCTTCCTTCCTTGTACACTCAGGATATCCTTTTTAGCGCTTAAATCGGGAGAGGTGTTACCGGCTATTGTTAATAACATTAGTAAAATTTTAAAACATATATTTGACATATTTGCAAACACGCATTTCACAGCAAATCAAACACTCTATTACATTTTTGTTTAAAGTATAAAACTTCTAGCCTGTAAGTGGTAGAAAACCTTTCAATATACTTTATTAACTCTGGAATCATATGATAATTAAAGCACACCAAATCACAAAACTCCGCATATACATCTGCAGTNGCGTGGGGGGGGATGTAGCAACGTCCATCTGATGTTGTCCCCAAAATCTATTTGAAACTGTTGTGAAAATGCGATTCACAGCAATATAAACACCCTTGAAACTATTTTTATTAAATATTATAACAGGACATTTGTTGTTTTATTTAAACGTCATGCAGCCGCAAGAGAACCACAAAATGATGTGTTTATGCCTTTTTTATGATAGTATGAAAACCATGGAAGATGCCGTTTGTCAAATAACTAATGAATAGACTTGAAATAGAAAACAAAATTCTGAGTCGTGTTGAGCTACAGTTGACTAATCTTATCAGCATATATCATTGTAGTTGTTACATCAAACAAGTTTAGATGGGTCATTCAGTATCTATCAACAAATTAAGACATGACGCATTCTTATTGAGACTGCTTTCCTTTTAACAAAAGTCCAAGTATGAAGCGTCACTCAGGTTAGTGACACATAACCACACCTAGTTTGTCCTGAGTACTGATTAACACAGCCTGTTTACGATATATCTACAATAGATACAAATTAGTAAACAACATTACTTTCTGTCTTTTTGTGACCTATATAGTAATAATATATTCTACAATGTATGCGAAGAAACGACACTTTTCATCGGTGAATAATTGTGTAAATCTTTAATTGGACGAAATCCATGCTACAGTCTTCCTAAATCTTCATCTGTTTTGCAAATGTATAAAAGTGACACGTGACACTGTTTTCCGTTGTCGTATACGGGTACACGCAGTAAAGGATGTCTATGTTTGAAGATTTTTGACTATGTGTAAGACATGCGTGTGGGCACACAGGTAGACAATTGTTTACCCTCGTTATTTATAAATATTCTACCGTAAAATATGCACATTCGTTGAATATTGATCCATTTGTCGTTGTTAAACAGGTATATTTCATGTTCAACAATAATCCACCGCCCCTTGATTATGCATGCAGTTCATCTTAAAGCTCATGTGCAATTTTGTTGTCGGTGTGAGAACTAGAAGTGTTGGCCTTTTTAAAATTGTATTGTACCGACGTCGAGGCATTTATTACAGACAATTTTTAATTATATTAGAGACTTTAGGAAAATAAATATGTCTTTAGATGAGTACAGTGGCAAAGTTTCGGGATGTGTCAATGGGACTTTCCTTTTAAATAAATATATATCAAGACAAAATTACAGCTAGCGGATTAACTGTCAACGATTATGGTTATGGTATAGCAATATACCGATTACTTATCTGCTGTGTGAATACATCGTAATTTGATTATATATTTCGTCACATCTAGAGACACATATTCCATTCTATGTTGTGCAGAAAAAAAAGGATAAAATAAAGAAAAAATCAGTCAAGTTTCCGATAATTTTTGAGTTTCTGTCTATTGTATGGAGACAGAATAATGTTGTCATACTCATTGTTAAATTGTTCCAAGAAACATATGTTGATGCGGTTTTGATAGATGACATAACATTTATTTACAGTGTATGGAAGAAGATAACATATTTTGATAATGAGCAAGTGTTGACTATACCTTAACTACATTTATCAGTCGATGCTCTAACATTGTAATTAACTAACTAAAATCTAAATCTGTAGATATATCAGGATACTATTTTCTCATGAGTAAATAAAGCACATAATATAAACAGAACTAGTAAGTATGTCAACATAGCGAAACAGTACCCGCGATAACCGTTATTGCTACACTAAGTACATGTAGCAGAACCAGCATTTTCCGCTATTGCTAAACCATAGAGAAAATGAGCCAGCAGTAATCGCTATTTGTAGTCTATAAAAAGGCATTATTACATAATATTGCTACGGACTAGTAAAACGGGTGTATCTCAGCAATAGAGTAACAAAGCCACTGTTCTTGGAACGCAATCGAGAAACATAACAAGAAAAGTAGTTATTGGTACATGTACACGATAGAGAATGGAACAAGAAAAACTGTTCTCGGTACACGATAGAGAATGGAACAAGAAAAACTGTTCTCGGTACACGATAGAGGAACGGAACAAGAAACACTGTTCTCGGTACACGATAGAGATACAGAACCAGTAAAGAAGTTCAAGGTTCACGATAGAAAAACAGAACCAGTAAAATAGCTGTTGGTACACAATAGAGGAATAGAACCAGTAAATCGTTCAGATACAATATTGAGGAACTGAAACATATGAAACCATTCTTGGTACACAATAGAGGAAGAAATCCAGTAAAAAGGTCCTTGGAACTTAATGAAGTAACTGAAACATGACAAATCATTCTTGGTACACAGTAGGGGAACTGCAAAGATGTTATCGTGACTTAACCAACAGTTACCGTGTTGATAAGACGCTTGTGTTGCGTACTAGCCATCATCATCACAAGAAAATGTTCGTATAATGTGATATGTACATATATATTGGACAGGTATGTATTTAAATAAGAAATTGACAAAAACTCATTGGTAAACGACATAATAATGTGTTTAATTTCAATTATTTGCAACATATACGCAGACAAAAATAGCAGTCCATTTCCATTGTCATGTTTACATAACTACAAATCCAGGTACATAACTTGCGTTGCACAGCACGCGCCAATGAAACTAAAGATGGCTGCTGCCACCACGATAGCGACACTACTACCCACGGCGTCGATGATTGTACCAACAAACGCAGAGAGGATGAATTGTGCCAGGAACACCATACTACTGACCACGGCTACGTCCGTCCCCAGACCGCGGACCGTCTTGTCTGCAGGATTCGTCGAGAACTACAACATAGTATTTGACACAGTAGGCAGTATTTTATATAGATATAATAGCGTTATTTCCTAACTGCCTCATATTGGTTGTGAAAAGATCATTTGGTATTCTAATTGAAGAGTTTCATTTCCTTCTTGAAACCAAACCTACAGCAATCGGAAAAAAGCCATATTTCCTTCAGGTGACAAACAGGTCATTTTTTTAATAGTTTTTTTAATAATATTTTTTTTTTTAATATTATTTTAATTTTTGAATTGTGATGGAATTCCACTTTATTGAGCATCATAATTGTCTTACGTCTTTTGTATTTTTAAAGTGTATAAGACAATGTTACAGGTAACAGTTCGACAAACATGTACAAAACAAAATCTATGATTGCGGCCAAATCTCGTTATTTTGGATGTCAAATGACCAACTTATTGAACGTTTATAAGTTTTTGATCCGTGATAATAGCTACATTTGTTTAACGCTTAATATTTTTATGGTCACGAAATCTTACCAAAAACCAGCGGGGACCAATTTTAGTAGTAATGAACGTGTTATAATAAGTAGTAAGTAGTTATCTACTAAAAAGTCTAAGTAAACTGGTAGAAAAAATACATATAACGAAAACCATACACCTGTTAAGCGAATAAGTATACAAAATAATGACGACGTGCTTGTATCAAAAATATACCTATTGTAACATCGAACGAGAGAAATTGAGCATAAATTACACACGCAAACATAGAGAACTTACAGAGAAAGCAGGAAACAAAAACATAGAGAACTTACAGAGAAAGCAGGAAACAAAAGCATAGAGAACTTACAGAGAAAACAGGATACAAAAACATAGAGAACTTACAGAGCAAACAGGAAACAAAAACATAGAGAACTGACAGAGAAAACAGGAAACAAAAACATAAAGAAATTACAGAGGAAGCAGGAAACAAAAACATAGAGAACTGACAGAGAAAACAGGAAACAAAAACATAGAGGACTTACAGAGAAAACAGGAAACAAAAACATAAAGAAATTACCGAGAAAACAGGAAACAAAAACATAAAGAAATTACCGAGAAAACAGGAAACAAAAACATAGAGAACTGACAGAGAAAACAGGAAACAAAAAAATAGAGAACTTACAGAGAAAACAGGATACAAAAACATAGAGAACTTACAGAGCAAACAGGAAACAAAAACATAGAGAACTGACAGAGAAAACAGGAAACAAAAAAATAGAGAACTTACAGAGAAAACAGTAAACAAAAACATAGAGAACTTACGGAGAAAACAGGAAACAAAAACATAAAGAAATTACAGAGAACACACGAAACAAAAACAGAGAACTTACGGAGAAAGCAGGAAACAAAAACATAGAGAAAAAAGAACATGAACAGAGAATAAAGTTAGTATCCGTTGTAAATTTCTAACGTTATGAATTGTTTTATAGCACATATTCCCCTTGGCTATTTTAATACATATATTCCGAAAGAATTGGAAGCGATTTTCAAACTTTTATTCTTTAGTGCCAATAATGAGTCCTTAATGAACAAAATGACCATTAAAGTGCAGTGAAAAAGTTAAAACGGAAATGACACCATTTCACTCTCCCGTGTGTACTATTTGTTGTCAGCAGTGTTATATTTAACGGTACAAGTTTTTAATTAAGAAAAAGAAATAACTGCTTTATCAAATCTTTGAGACATGATTAAAGAGATACATGAATAATAGTGAAGTACCATGCGAATTTTGTTTTAACAATAATCAAGGATCCATATTAGTTCTATTGAATTTCACAGAGTAGCATCAGCAATACATAATACAACTTAAAAGGCAGTAATATCGTGCAAACTGTTCAGTTTACAAAAATCGCCATTATAAAATAGATAATTTTCTCGGCCGTGAACGACAAGTACAGTATTACATTTCTTTACAGACGAAAGTGTTCTAGGGCTTTATTTTGTTCGTGTTGTGTCACTGCCTTTACATAGAAACGGAGTAAATTCAACTGTAATATCTAGTGCTAATTTTTATAGATATGCCTTGCTAGTCTGTCTTAAGAGTACAGTGCTAAACACCGTTCTTCTTCCATTTACAATTCATTAAGAAACTATTGCATGAATATTTTATGTAACAAACTTTCAAAAACGTACATAATCAAAAGTTAATCGCGCTTATGGAAGGGAGTTAACCTATTCGGCAATGCAAGATGTACACAAGATTTATTTCCCTTTAAGCACGATGTAACAATAGCAAAGTAGAAACCCGACTCACCTGACTTTTGGTGTGGTAGTTAGCCAGTAACAGGTACGGCATTGTGAACAAAGTGGCATACATTATTCCAGCAGACGGCGAAAGTAGTACGGCTGCAATTCGGTGTCTCGTGAGGGCCATAATTATCATCCCGCATGTGTATACAAGTTGACCGCCAATGTAAATCTTCTTCGCTTCTGAAATGGAAACAATGAAACCTCAGACAACATACATGTTTCAAGTTCATGTAGTGAATCGGAGTCGGAGTCAATACTAAAATGTATACTTGTCCAATAAAACAAATCAAGTAACACCAATTATAATGGCCATATGTCGATGAATTGGTAAACATGATAATTGTTGTATTTTTTTTTTTCATTTAAAAATCACCATTTTTATAACAAAAGCGAACAAAATCATCAATTCTTTAAATTGGAAGCAGCAGTATCAAACAGCGTTTCTTGATTTCCATACATATACACGTTATAGCAAGGTAATGGAAATATACAATCATTTTTTTTATCAAATTTGTCAATTATTTAATTAATAGCATTGCATATATGCTGGTATAGCTTCCACATGTGTTACAGACCAATCTAATTATAATTATATTTCACATCGCTCCCGTTTACTGATATGTCGCGTCATATCAGTAAGCGAAGCGATGTTAAGATATAATTTTATTAGATTGGTCATAGACAAACTTAATGGTGGGTGGCAGAGCATCATGATATACGTGAAAGTGTTCCTCTAGCTCTGTCACATCTATGCAATATATTGCTTACATTTTCATTTTATGGTTATGCAAATGGTGTTAGGATTGTATTTCCCTACAATTCAATATCCCCGGCTGCTATCGGCGAGACCAGGTCAATAACAGAAACGCCAACAGAAAAAAGCTGACACCACACGCTGTTCCCTTCACAAAATTAAAAGATTAATATAATCTCCCCCTACCCGGAGGGTGTGACAGAGAAATCTCCCCCTACCCGGAGGGTGTGACAGAGAAATCTCCCCCTACCCGGAGGGTGTGACAGAGAAATCTCCCCCTACCCGGAGGGTGTGACAGAGAAATCTCCCCCTACCCGGAGGGTGTGACAGAGAAATCTCCCCCTACCCGGAGGGTGTGACAGAGAAATCTCCCCCTACCCGGAGGGTGTGACAGAGAAATCTCCCCCTACCCGGAGGGTGTGACAGAGAAATCTCCCCCTACCCGGAGGGTGTGACAGAGAAATCTCCCCCTACCCGGAGGGTGTGACAGAGAAATCTCCCCCTACCCGGAGGGTGTGACAGAGAAATCTCCCCCTACCCGGAGGGTGTGACAGAGAAATCTCCCCCTACCCGGAGGGTGTGACAGAGAAATCTCCCCCTACCCGGAGGGTGTGACAGAGAAATCTCCCCCTACCCGGAGGGTGTGACAGAGAAATCTCCCCCTACCCGGAGGGTGTGACAGAGAAATCTCCCCCTACCCGGAGGGTGTGACAGAGAAATCTCCCCCTACCCGGAGGGTGTGACAGAGAAATCTCCCCCTACCCGGAGGGTGTGACAGAGAAATCTCCCCCTACCCGGAGGGTGTGACAGAGAAATCTCCCCCTACCCGGAGGGTGTGACAGAGAAATCTCCCCCTACCCGGAGGGTGTGACAGAGAAATCTCCCCCTACCCGGAGGGTGTGACAGAGAAATCTCCCCCTACCCGGAGGGTGTGACAGAGAAATCTCCCCCTACCCGGAGGGTGTGACAGAGAAATCTCCCCCTACCCGGAGGGTGTGACAGAGAAATCTCCCCCTACCCGGAGGGTGTGACAGAGAAATCTCCCCCTACCCGGAGGGTGTGACAGAGAAATCTCCCCCTACCCGGAGGGTGTGACAGAGAAATCTCCCCCTACCCGGAGGGTGTGACAGAGAAATCTCCCCCTACCCGGAGGGTGTGACAGAGAAATCTCCCCCTACCCGGAGGGTGTGACAGAGAAATCTCCCCCTACCCGGAGGGTGTGACAGAGAAATCTCCCCCTACCCGGAGGGTGTGACAGAGAAATCTCCCCCTACCCGGAGGGTGTGACAGAGAAATCTCCCCCTACCCGGAGGGTGTGACAGAGAAATCTCCCCCTACCCGGAGGGTGTGACAGAGAAATCTCCCCCTACCCGGAGGGTGTGACAGAGAAATCTCCCCCTACCCGGAGGGTGTGACAGAGAAATCTCCCCCTACCCGGAGGGTGTGACAGAGAAATCTCCCCCTACCCGGAGGGTGTGACAGAGAAATCTCCCCCTACCCGGAGGGTGTGACAGAGAAATCTCCCCCTACCCGGAGGGTGTGACAGAGAAATCTCCCCCTACCCGGAGGGTGTGACAGAGAAATCTCCCCCTACCCGGAGGGTGTGACAGAGAAATCTCCCCCTACCCGGAGGGTGTGACAGAGAAATCTCCCCCTACCCGGAGGGTGTGACAGAGAAATCTCCCCCTACCCGGAGGGTGTGACAGAGAAATCTCCCCCTACCCGGAGGGTGTGACAGAGAAATCTCCCCCTACCCGGAGGGTGTGACAGAGAAATCTCCCCCTACCCGGAGGGTGTGACAGAGAAATCTCCCCCTACCCGGAGGGTGTGACAGAGAAATCTCCCCCTACCCGGAGGGTGTGACAGAGAAATCTCCCCCTACCCGGAGGGTGTGACAGAGAAATCTCCCCCTACCCGGAGGGTGTGACAGAGAAATCTCCCCCTACCCGGAGGGTGTGACAGAGAAATCTCCCCCTACCCGGAGGGTGTGACAGAGAAATCTCCCCCTACCCGGAGGGTGTGACAGAGAAATCTCCCCCTACCCGGAGGGTGTGACAGAGAAATCTCCCCCTACCCGGAGGGTGTGACAGAGAAATCTCCCCCTACCCGGAGGGTGTGACAGAGAAATCTCCCCCTACCCGGAGGGTGTGACAGAGAAATCTCCCCCTACCCGGAGGGTGTGACAGAGAAATCTCCCCCTACCCGGAGGGTGTGACAGAGAAATCTCCCCCTACCCGGAGGGTGTGACAGAGAAATCTCCCCCTACCCGGAGGGTGTGACAGAGAAATCTCCCCCTACCCGGAGGGTGTGACAGAGAAATCTCCCCCTACCCGGAGGGTGTGACAGAGAAATCTCCCCCTACCCGGAGGGTGTGACAGAGAAATCTCCCCCTACCCGGAGGGTGTGACAGAGAAATCTCCCCCTACCCGGAGGGTGTGACAGAGAAATCTCCCCCTACCCGGAGGGTGTGACAGAGAAATCTCCCCCTACCCGGAGGGTGTGACAGAGAAATCTCCCCCTACCCGGAGGGTGTGACAGAGAAATCTCCCCCTACCCGGAGGGTGTGACAGAGAAATCTCCCCCTACCCGGAGGGTGTGACAGAGAAATCTCCCCCTACCCGGAGGGTGTGACAGAGAAATCTCCCCCTACCCGGAGGGTGTGACAGAGAAATCTCCCCCTACCCGGAGGGTGTGACAGAGAAATCTCCCCCTACCCGGAGGGTGTGACAGAGAAATCTCCCCCTACCCGGAGGGTGTGACAGAGAAATCTCCCCCTACCCGGAGGGTGTGACAGAGAAATCTCCCCCTACCCGGAGGGTGTGACAGAGAAATCTCCCCCTACCCGGAGGGTGTGACAGAGAAATCTCCCCCTACCCGGAGGGTGTGACAGAGAAATCTCCCCCTACCCGGAGGGTGTGACAGAGAAATCTCCCCCTACCCGGAGGGTGTGACAGAGAAATCTCCCCCTACCCGGAGGGTGTGACAGAGAAATCTCCCCCTACCCGGAGGGTGTGACAGAGAAATCTCCCCCTACCCGGAGGGTGTGACAGAGAAATCTCCCCCTACCCGGAGGGTGTGACAGAGAAATCTCCCCCTACCCGGAGGGTGTGACAGAGAAATCTCCCCCTACCCGGAGGGTGTGACAGAGAAATCTCCCCCTACCCGGAGGGTGTGACAGAGAAATCTCCCCCTACCCGGAGGGTGTGACAGAGAAATCTCCCCCTACCCGGAGGGTGTGACAGAGAAATCTCCCCCTACCCGGAGGGTGTGACAGAGAAATCTCCCCCTACCCGGAGGGTGTGACAGAGAAATCTCCCCCTACCCGGAGGGTGTGACAGAGAAATCTCCCCCTACCCGGAGGGTGTGACAGAGAAATCTCCCCCTACCCGGAGGGTGTGACAGAGAAATCTCCCCCTACCCGGAGGGTGTGACAGAGAAATCTCCCCCTACCCGGAGGGTGTGACAGAGAAATCTCCCCCTACCCGGAGGGTGTGACAGAGAAATCTCCCCCTACCCGGAGGGTGTGACAGAGAAATCTCCCCCTACCCGGAGGGTGTGACAGAGAAATCTCCCCCTACCCGGAGGGTGTGACAGAGAAATCTCCCCCTACCCGGAGGGTGTGACAGAGAAATCTCCCCCTACCCGGAGGGTGTGACAGAGAAATCTCCCCCTACCCGGAGGGTGTGACAGAGAAATCTCCCCCTACCCGGAGGGTGTGACAGAGAAATCTCCCCCTACCCGGAGGGTGTGACAGAGAAATCTCCCCCTACCCGGAGGGTGTGACAGAGAAATCTCCCCCTACCCGGAGGGTGTGACAGAGAAATCTCCCCCTACCCGGAGGGTGTGACAGAGAAATCTCCCCCTACCCGGAGGGTGTGACAGAGAAATCTCCCCCTACCCGGAGGGTGTGACAGAGAAATCTCCCCCTACCCGGAGGGTGTGACAGAGAAATCTCCCCCTACCCGGAGGGTGTGACAGAGAAATCTCCCCCTACCCGGAGGGTGTGACAGAGAAATCTCCCCCTACCCGGAGGGTGTGACAGAGAAATCTCCCCCTACCCGGAGGGTGTGACAGAGAAATCTCCCCCTACCCGGAGGGTGTGACAGAGAAATCTCCCCCTACCCGGAGGGTGTGACAGAGAAATCTCCCCCTACCCGGAGGGTGTGACAGAGAAATCTCCCCCTACCCGGAGGGTGTGACAGAGAAATCTCCCCCTACCCGGAGGGTGTGACAGAGAAATCTCCCCCTACCCGGAGGGTGTGACAGAGAAATCTCCCCCTACCCGGAGGGTGTGACAGAGAAATCTCCCCCTACCCGGAGGGTGTGACAGAGAAATCTCCCCCTACCCGGAGGGTGTGACAGAGAAATCTCCCCCTACCCGGAGGGTGTGACAGAGAAATCTCCCCCTACCCGGAGGGTGTGACAG